CGCCCCACAGCGCCCCATAGCGACCCATAGCAACACACAGCGCCCCACAGCGCCCCATAGCGCCCCAAAGCACCGCACAGCGCCCCATAGCGCCCCATAGCAACACACAGCGCCCCATAGCGCCCCACAGCACCGCACAGCATCCCACAGCACCCCATAGCGCCCCATAGTGCCACATAGCTCCCCACAGTGCCCCATAGCACCCCACAGTGACCCATAGTGCCCCGCAGCACCCTGCAATGCCCCATAGCACCCTATGGCACCCCACAGCACCCCATAGTGCCCCACACACCACAGCCCCACACCTCATACCCCCACACCCCACACACCCCATAACCCCACAAACCCCATGGCCCCCACCCTATAACCCCACAACCCCACAGCCCCACACGCCCCATAACCTCACACACCCAATACCCCCCCACATCCCAGGGCCCCACAGCCCCCCACAGCCCAGCCTGGCGCCCACCCATCCCATAGGGACCCCCAGCACCCAAAGGCACCCAACGCCCACCCGATCCAACGGGGTCTTGGCACCCAAGGGTGCACCCCCAAGTCCTCCAACCTAAAGGGACCCAGCACCCAAAGGAACCCAACACCCACCCACCCCATGGGGTCCCTGGCACCCAAGGGTGCACCCCAGTGCCCTCCAACCCAAAGGAACCCCCAGCACCCAAAGGAACCCAACACCCACCCAACTCACGAGGTCCCCAGCGCCCAAGGGTGCGCTCCCACGCCCTCCAACCTAAAGGAACCCCCAACATCCAAAGGTACCCAATGCCCACCACCCCAAGTGAGTCCCTGGCACCCAAGGGTGCACCCCGGTGCCCACTCATCCCAAGGGGGTCTTGGCACCCAAAGGTGCACCCCAACGCCCCACAACCCCCCACACCCCAGCCTGGTGCCCACCCATCCCATAGGGACCAACAGCACCCAAATGCACCCAACGAGGTCCCCAGCACCCAAGGGTGCGCTCCTACGCCCTCCAACCTAAAGGGACCCCCAGTTCCCAAATGTATCCAATGCCCACCACCCCAAGTGAGTCCCTGGCACCCAAGGGTGCACCCCGGTGCCCACTCATCCCAAGGGGGTCTTGGCACCCAAAGGTGCACCCCAATGACCCACACCCCACACCTCACATCCCCCACAGCCCCACAACCCCTCACACCCCAGCCTGGTGCCCACCCATCCCAAGGGGGTCTTGGCACCCAAAGGTGCACCCCAACCCCCCACAGACCCACAACCCCAGCCTGGTGCCCACCCATCCCATAGGGACCCCCAGCACCCAAACGCACCCAACGCCCACCCAACCCATGCGATCCCTGGCACCCAAAGCTGCACCCCGGTGCCCACCCACCCCAAGGGGGTCTCGGCACCCAAAGGTGCACCCCCCCCCCCCACCCCCACGCACCCACACACGCCGCCATGCCGTGTACTCGCCGAGCGCCAGCGCCACGTAGAGGAAGACCAGCAGGTAGCTGACGGCGAACACAGGCAGGTCCTGCGCCGTGGTGCGGCTCAGCTCGTCCTCCAGGGAGCGCTGCCAGGGGGGACGCAGCTCAGGGGGGCCCCCAGCACCCATGGGTGCCCCCAAACCACCCCCATAGGGTGCCGGTGACAAGGGTGCGCCCCAAAGCCTTCTGACCCATAGGGAGCCCCAGCACCCGAGGGCACCCAACGCCCACCTGCCCCACGTTGAGTCCCAGCACCCAAAGGTGCAGCCCAGCGCCCTCCCATGGAGATCCCAGAGCCCACCCACCCATGGGGACCCCCAGCACCCAAGGGTGCCCAATGCCTGCCCACCCCAAGTGAGTCCCTGGCACCCATGGGTGCAACCCAGCACTCTCCCAAGGGTGCGCCCCAAAGTCTTTCGACCCATAGGGACCCCCAGCACCCGAGGGCATCCAACACCCGCCGGCCCCACGTTGAGTCCCGGCACCCAAAGGTGCAGCCCAGCACCCTCCCAAGGAGATCCTGGTCCTCATCCAGCCATAGGGACCCCCAGCACCCATGGGTGCCCCCACCCACCCCATAGGGACCCCTAGTGTCTGAAGGAACCCAATGCTCAATGCCAACCCCATGGGGTCTCCGGCACCCAAGGGTGCACCCCCAAGTCCTCCAACCCAAAGGGACGCAACACCAAAGGAACCCAATGCCCACCCACCCCACGTGAGTCCCAGCACCCGAAGGTGCAGCCCAGCGCCCTCCCAAGGAGATCCAGGTCCTCATCCAGCCATAGGGACCCCCAGCACCCATGGGTGCCCCCAAACCTCCCCCATAGGGTGCCAGCGCCCAAGGGTGCGCCCCAAAGCCTTCTGACCCACAGGCACCCCCAGCTCCTGAGGGCACCCAATGCCCACCTACCCAACATGAGTCCCAGCACCCAAAGGTGCAGCCCAGCGCCCTCCCATGTTGATCCCAGAGCCCACCCACCCATGGGGACCCCTAGCACCCAAGGGTGCCCAATGCCTGCCCACCCCAAGGGCGTCCCTGGTACCCAAAGGTGCAGCCCAGTGCCCACCCACCCCATAGGGACCCTGGCGCCCAAGGGTGCACCCCAGTGCCCTCCAACCCAAAGGGACCCAACACCCACCCAACCCATGGGGTCCCCAGCACCCAAGGGTGCCCCCCAGTGCCCTCCAACCCTAAGGAACCCCAGCACCCAAAGGCACCCAACCCCCCCCCCGCCCCTCCCCATGACTCCCCGCCCCCCACGGCTGCAGCCCAGCTCCCACCCACCGACACCCCCGGCCCCCCCCCATCCCCTTGGGCGCCGCACCTCCGCCATGAAGGAGACGCTCAGGTTGTGGCGGTGGCGGCTCTGGAAGTCGCGCGCCGCCTGCAGGAAGCGCCGCTCCCAGCTCAGCACCCAGCGGCGCCGCGCGTCGCCGGCAGGGAAGTTGTTGAGCGAGTAGGTGAGGACCAGCGCCGCCGCCTCCGTGTACTCAGAGCCTGCGGCACAGCGCCCCATAGCGACACGCAGCGACACACGGCGACCCATAGCGACCCATAGCGACCCATAGCGACACACGGCGCCCCATAGCGACCCACAGCGCCCCATAGCGACACACAGCGACCCATAGCGACACACAGCGCCCCATAGCGCCCCATAGGGTTCCAGAGGGTTCCATAGTGCCCCATAGGGTTCCTTAGGGCCCCATAGGGTTCCATAGCGCCCCATAGGGTTCCTTAAGGCCCCATAGGGTTC